CCCTTAACCATATTACGAGCGTTTACAAGGCACAACTTTAATCTCCAGTTCCAAACGCTTTCTCAGCTTCCTCGTCCCCACCCTCACTTTAGTGACAAGCCTTAGAGTAGGACAGAAATAGTCACGTGATAGAACCACCGGTATCTATCACTGCCACCAGTCTTTCTACTTTGCCACACACAATCGGACTTAGCACAAAAATTCTTTGTCAACAAACAGCCCACTTGAGCACTATTAAAAAACAGCAGTGACTAGCACATATGATTTAACCACTCCACTATCCATTCTTCTCAAACTACAATCGCTTGCGTTTCTCAAAATCGGACGTCTATGTTTTTACACACCCTCTTCAATGACCGGTCGAGCACAAGCCGCGTGATGCAGTATCAAGTCAGAGTAGCACAGACAGGTGCACCAAGCATAATCGCTTCAAGAAATGGATCCTTAGTTTCTCCTTCGCACATCATTCCCGTAGTCGCTATTCTCTCAACTGGAAAGGCAGATCATACTGGAAAGTAGCTCAGTGAGACTCATCAATTCGTGTGGACGTGTGTGCCTATGTGGACCACTTAACAAGATCAGATGCTAAAATGAGATATGCTAAAGGACAAAATTACAAGATCATAATCATCTTATGATCGTCGCGTGCAAAAAGAACTACCTGACCTGCAAAAATGAAGTAATGCGACAAGCTTTCGCTGGAGGTAGCTTAATTTCATACCTAGCTCACGAATCCATATTACAAACAAAGGTAGGTATTGTTGGCACAAACTAAGTCCGTACTTCTAGCTGCTGGTGTCTTTTTGAAGGTCTACAACAAATCAATGACGTTGAGTAGAATATCCTCAACATCTCCGTAGCTAAATTCAGCAGGAAACAAAAAGAATTGAGGATTAACAACTACAATTAGTGTTAGCTAAGAGAATGCGGTAGGAATCATCTATAATAGGAAGCACAGTAGATTAGTCCGACACGTTGTTTAAGTCAATTCTATGGTTGTAACAAACCCCTTTTTGGAGGTGGAAGCAATTTCTCCGGTTTCCTCGACACGGTATCTGCTTTCTTTGAGACAAGGGCTGCTGACTAAATGAATAGATGGAGCACAAAATAGGCTTCTGAATGAAGAATAATTAATATCGCATAGCAAAATTTAAGGTAATCACAATTACAACCATCAAGCGCCTGGAGATCCTTAGTATCGCCTTTCGATGAGGTGGAATAGTCGAAAAATGATATCCAAAGGATAGCCTATTCCTCCAGCTTAACTAGTCGCGATTACCCTCCCAACACAAAAAAATGACGAATCTCCGCCCTCCTACCTTCACCAAGATGGGTGCAGTGACCGCAAAATGAAATAATCCTTCTCACAACTCTCATCTGGACTTATTGCGTTGTTCAATAAAGAAGTTAGTCATACTATAAGACTAAGCTACGGAGAGGTTAGATTATTATAAGTATCCCAGTTCACAAATAGAGGGAAAGCTTCTTTTTTTGAAACATCTGAAGGACAACTTTGTAGTAGTGATGAAGACCAACTCACCTCCTGTCGTTTGGACTCCAAATCAGTGGTGCGTTTTTGCGCCAACTGACGGTGCTCCTTCTCGCTAGGAAGAATCCGCAGCGAAGATAGATTGTTCCGCACAAAGCGCCGCGCGAACTGACCTATTGTACGGTTAAGGCGTGCCTGAGTGGCTGCTGATCTGCTCGTTGAGACATCCAAACTGGCGATCACCTTTCTGAAATGATTGGTCAACTAATATAAAAGATGCTCTTCCTACCCTATCTCGTCAACCTTCTGCAGATTTTGGAGTAGTTCCAAACGCAGAGACTTGGCTATGTCTAGTATGTACTTCTCCTCACCTAAACTACTTGTGCAGTTAAAGTACACGACAAAAATGCGAACACGCCTACCTTAGGCTATTTGCCATTGAAGAAAATAAAGGCATCTTTTCAGTCACCTTCGCCATTGCTTGTTTCAGCGCCTGGAATTAGTTTCGACATAAAATACTACTAACCTGAAACTCTTCCAATCCTAGTGGTGTTGCATTACCCTCCTCAATCTGTTGTATCTTCCCTTCCAAAACCAACTTACATACTTCGCAAATGCGTAATTTAGGAACTATAAGAGCTAATGGAATAAAACCACATGGTACCCTCTTCTGTTCGCTTCGGAACAGAGCTATCCAGACTGGTTAGAGAAGTCGACCTCGAAAGAAAAGGAGGCTTGCAGTTGAGAATCTCCCCTCCCAAAGACGGGATATTTTCAGACGAAACAGCATTGATTGCTAGGGATTCACTTTTGGCCCAATTGCAAGCTTTTATGACGTGCGAAATCTCCTCTTTGGAGAGGAAAAAAGAGCAGTCTGCGCAGATTATATGACCACACAGACGACAGTGGTGCATCCTACGATAGACAGGATCATTATCAATCAATGTAGAGACAAATCTAGAGGCAAAATGCAGACCCTCTCGTGCACGACGGGAGAGGGAGGTTGGGGGAGTAACGAGGAAAGAGTGGGAGGTGGCAGTGGCCGTTGAATCTCCAGAGGTAGAGTACTTTGACCATCCCAAACCAAATGAAGCCCCGCAGCGAGGACAAAGACTGACTTTAGCCATAATCCACGGCACTATACTTTGTTCAAGAACTCAAGAATAAGTTAACAAAATGTTATACTTTACCATGCCGTTGGGAATTATCGAGATTATCAGGAATGTTTGAAAGCTTTTCCAATCTGATTAGTAAAAGGTTTGTTTCTAGAGCAGTTCGGTCTACTTGGGCTTGGCGCAATTTGTCGAAATCCGCCGTTCGACTACGAATCCTCCCTAGAAAGACAAAGCTACCACCTTGACTCAAATTCGATAACTCTGCCATTCATTTGTGCATAACTACCCACCTGTTAAAGGGGCTTTCACATAATTCTGGAACTGGTCATGGGACAATATGTTATGAAAATGTTCTTTGGTAAAATGATCCTCCAAAAGCTGGGGTCCACTAAATGGCTTAAGACATGAAGGACATAAGAAGCCCTCAATTATAGTCTCCTGGTAAATGAAGGAAGTATCTTCAGCCATTAAGCATTTTACCGTTTGAAACGGACCAGGGCTAAAAATGAGTAATGAGTCCGTGGGCCTCTAAGTCCGTTGACCTTGGAAACGTAGGCAGGAGAATAACAAAATTTGCTCTCATATTATATATTGGTGGATTTCGACAATATACGAGTATTTCTAACAGAGTTCGTTTCGTGTAATCGCACGCTCATTTTTAACGCTTTTTGTAAATGGGCATCAGCAATATGTATCATACTGAAATGAGTTGCAACTGTTAGTACGATACCATCTTACTCGAAAGTGTACACCATCAAGGCAAGTGCAACGCCTTCCTCTCCATTCTCTAGCTCTCAAATTCGGTCTTTCCAAAATGTGTTGCTTAACGATGGTTGTACAAGCATATGCAAAAATAGTCGGGTAAATAGGTGTCCAAACTAGTCCAGGAAGTGGTTCTTGCATTCCACCTTCACGGCTTTCGAAGTGACTTCCCATCTCCCCTTGAAAGTACAATTTAACAACCATTATGCGTTCCATTAAGAGCTTCAAAATAGTTCGAAAGTATACAATAGGCATTAAACTTTGTTAAATTAATTTCTGCATTTCATCCATGAAGTAAGTCTCAGAGAGTAGAGGTGTTTTGCACTGACGCTACATAGGGCATCAAACATCAACAATTAATTCATTTGCCCGTTGATTAGTCAGACAAATTTTTCTTTCTGAGCTCAGTACTTATCTTTAGTTCAAACATGGTGTGGCTGAGCAAAATGCGAAGGCGCCATTATGTAGGCTACAGTTGGCATGAACTGGCCGTTTTATGTTTGCTTTATCAGTGCCGGAATTTCTGCGGCTTTAAATTGTTTTACTTATATTCCTTTTGGATTATGGTAGTTTCGTTCCTGTGTCTGGGTTCCGTCGTTGGTGTCAATGTCATTAGTACACGTGCTTAAACTGTGGTTCGGCAACTCAGTTTTT